TGCAGACTCAGTCAGGGAGAGGTTGAAAATGTCAGTGAAGACACTTTCCAGTTGGTCAGCGCATGCTCTGAGGACACGTCCTGGTAATCCGTCTGGCCCTGCGGCCTTGTGAATGTTGACCTGTTTAAAGGTCTTACTCACATCGGCTACGGAGAGCGTGATCACACAGATGTCCGGAACAGCTGATACTCTCATTCATGCTTCAGTGTTGCTTGCCTCGAAGCGAGCATAGATGTGATTTAGCTCATCTGGTAGGCTCGTGTCACTTGGCGGCTCGCGGCTGTGCTTCCCTTTTAGAGTCTGTAATAGTTTGCAAACCCTGCCACATCCGACGAGCATCGGAGCCGGTGTAGTACGATTCAATCTTAGTCCTGTATTGACGCTTTGCCTGTTTGATGGTTCGTCGGAGAGCATAGTGGGATTTCTTATAAGCGTCCGGGTTAGAGTCCCGCTCCTTGAAAGCGGAAGCTCTACCCATGGCTTCTGGTTGGGGTATGTACGTACAGTCACTGTGGGGACGACGTCATCTATGCACTTATTGATGAAGCCAGTGACTGATGTGGTGTACTCCTCAATGCCATCGGAAGAATCCCGGAACATATTCCAGTCTGTGCTAGCAAAAGAGTCCTGTAGCTTAGCATCTGTGTCATCTGACCACTTCTTTATTGACGAGTCACTGGTGCTTCCTGCTTTAGTTTTCGCTTGTAAGCAGGAATCAGGAGGATAGAGGTATGGTTGGATTTGCCAAATGGAGGGTGAGGGAGAGCTTTGTATGCATCTCTGTGTTTGGAGTAAAGGTGGTCTAGAGTTTTTTTTCCTGTGGTTGCACATTTAACATGCTGGTAGAAATGAGGTAAAACGGATTTAAGTTTCCCTGCATCATTGAGTGCGGTCTTAGTGCCAGCATCGGTTTGTGGTGGTACTACGAAAAATATAGATGAAAACTCTCTTGGTAAATAGTGTGGTCTACAGCTTATCATGAGATACCGCAACCGCAGGGCTCTCCAGAGGGTGGTGCAGTCAGCCCAACGCATCACCGGGGGCACAGTGCCTGCCCTCCAGGGCATCTACAGAACCCGGTGTCACAGGAAGGCCAAGAAGATCATCAAGGACCTCAGCCACCCGAACCACAGCCTGTTCACCACTCTACCATCTAGAAGGCAGAGACAGTGCAGGTGTATCCAAGTTGAGCAAAGAGACTGATAAACAGCTTCTATCTCCAGGCCATCAGACTGTTAAACAGTCACCACTAGCCGGCCTCCGCCCAGTAGCCTGCCGTGAACCTCAGACACTGTCATTAGCTGGCTACCACCACTACTCTGCACCTTAGACACTGCTGCCCTATGTACAGTACAGAGTCATCGAACACTGGTCACTTTAATAATGATTACATACTGGCATACCCACTTTATATGTGTATACTGCAGTGGCAGTCGGTGCCGTTTAAGATGAGGGAGGACAATACATTTTTGAATGAGTGTGGCCTTATTTCTATTACACCATATTGGATGACTGTCATTCATATTCCATTCACCCAGCTCAATGTAACATCTATAGGTTTAGGCTACTACATTATTCTCTAATGTTCCCTATACCCATCATGAGGTTGCTACAACCTAGCCTATGAATTAAAGTTTACAACGTAGGTGCACACAGGTCGAGAGACAATTTTGAGGCGACAGACAGTGACACATGGACAGACAGTGACACTTTCAATACCGCCTTGCACACTCTTGCCTGCATCTTGCTGATCTAGGGTGTAATCATTTGTCCAACAGTTGCAAACGACAGTTTCTATTGGACAAATTCAGGTATGTTGATCCCCGTTTCGTTCTGGTTGCTTCCGTTTAAGAAATGTTTTTCAACAGAATCGGCGGAGTGAATACACCCCTGATCACGCGTGAACACTGTTCACCTTCATAGCAGCCACGTTGTACTCCTTATCGCATCTATGCGCGCTCCTCCTTTCACGTTTTCCCTTCGTTTGTGGACTTCAAGGTACAACACATCAGCTGTATGTGACCAGGCGAAAAAAAACATTCCAAGCCAAACCATATCATAACCGCTACACACAGCCTACATTGTTGTCACCATATTAGCTAAAGTAACTTGGCTAATGGAACTAACGCGTTAGTAAATACGCTACAATCATGCAGTAACGTTACAGTGTACAGTCAGTAAGCAGTTTAGCACTGACACCGGCGGGCCCCGGCGGGCCCCGGTGGCAATAAATTAGTAAAACCAAAAGCTTACCTTGACTTGGAAGAGTTCCAGTGTTGTGTTGGATAGTCATGGCCAGCATAGCATCCCTCTATTTGAGCAGGGTGTTTGAGTAGGCTAAACTAGCTAGCTGCATTTGCTAGCTAAGTTAGTGAAACTGAAAATAAATTACTATCTCTCTCTTGCTTCTCCTTCATTTTGGAAGAAATTCATTCGTTCAAAACTGTTCAACTATTGTCTTTCTCTCTCTTTGAGTCAACTACTCACCACATTTTATACACTGCAGTTCTAGCTAGCTGTAGCTTGTGCTTTCCGTACTAGATTCATTCTCTGATCCTTTGATTGGGTGGCCATGCTGCAAGAGCTCCGATAGGTTGGAGGACGTCCTCCAGAAGTTGTCATAATTACTGTGTAAGTCTATGGAAGGGGGTGAGAACCATGAGCCTCCTAGGTTTTGTATGGAAGTCAATGTACCCAGAGGAGGATGGAAGCTAGCTGTCCTCCGGCTACACCATGGTGCTACCCTAGAGGGTGCTGTTGAGGCTACTGTAGACCATTGCAAAAAAAAGTGTGTTTTAATCAATTATTTGGTGACGTGAATATATTTAGTTTAGTTTGATCTAAAAATGATAACTTTTTTATGTTTTACTTTCTTATTTTTTTAATGAAATTCACTGAGGAGGATGGTCCTCCCATTTCTCATCTGAGGAGCCTCCACTGATGTACAGTATTCTAGTCATGGCTCATTGTTTATAACTCAAATAAAATTGTATTTATCACATGCGCCGAATACAACTGGTGTAGACGTTACAGTGAAATGCTTGCTTACGAACCTTTCCCAAAGATGCAGAGTTGATGATAATAATAATAAAAAATAGTAACTAACACGAGGAATACAATAAAATACATAAGAATGGAGCTATATACAGGGAGTACCAGATCAATGTGGAGCTATATACAGGAAGTACCAGTACCAGATCAATGTGCAGAGGTACGAGGTATTGAAGGTACAGTTAAAGTCGGAAGTTTACATACACCTTAGCCAAATACATGTAAACTCAGTTTTTCACAATTCCTGACATTTAATCCTAGTAAAAATGCCCTGTCTTAGGTCAGTTAGGATCACCACTTTATTTTAAGAATGTGAAATGTCAGAATAATAGTAGAGAGAATGATTTATTTTAGCTTTTATTTATTTCATCACATTCCCAGTGGGTCAGAAGTTTACATTTACGTCATTTAGCAGACGCTCTTATCCAGAGCGACTTACAGTTAGTGAATACATTATTTTTATTTTTTTTATTCTGGCCCCCTGTGGGAATCGAACCCACAACCCTGGCGTTGCAAACGCCATGCTCTATCAACTGAGCTACATCCCTGCCGGCCATTCCCTCCCCTACCCTGGACGACGCTGGGCCAATTGTGCGCCGCCCATGAGTCTCCCGGTCGCGGCCGGCTGCGACAGAGCCTGGATTTGAACCAGGATCTCTAGTGGCACAGTTAGCACTGCGATGCAGTGCCTTAGACCACTGCGCCACTCAGGAGGTTACATACACTCAATTAGTATTTGGTAGCATTGCCTTTAAATTGTTTAACTTGGGTCAAACGTTTCGGGTAGCCTTCCACAAACTTCCCACAATAAGTTGGGTGAATTTTGGCCCATTCTTCCTGACAGAGCTGGTGTAACTGAGTCAGGTTTGCAGGCCTCCTTGCTCGCACACACTTTTTCAGTTCTGCTCATATATTTTCTATAGGATTGAGGTCAGGGCTTTGTGATGGCCACTCCAATACCTTGACTTTGTTGTCCTTAAGCCATTTTGCCATAACTTTGGAAGTATGCTTGGGATCATTGTCCATTTGGAAGACCCATTTGCGACCAAGCTTTAACTTCCTGACTGATGTGTTGAGATGTTGCTTCAATATATCCACATAATTTTCCTTCCACATAATGCCATCTATTTTGTGAAGTGCACCAGTCCCTCCTGCAGCAAAGCACCCCCACAGCATGATGCTGCCACCCCCGTGCTTCACGGTTGGGATGGTGTTCTTCGGCTTGCAGGCTCCCACTTTTTCCTCCAAACATAACGATGGTCATTATGGCCAAACAGTTCTATTTTTGTTTCATCAGACCAGAGGACATTTCTCCAAAAAGTACGATCTTTGTCCCCATGTGCAGATGAAAACCGTAGTCAGACTTTTCTATGGCAGTTATGGAGCAGTTGCTTCTTCCTTTCAGGTTATGTCGATATAGGTATTGTTTTACTGTGGATATAGATACTTTTGTACCTGTTTCCTCCAGCATCTTCACAAGGTCCTTTGCTGTTGTTCTGGGATTGATTTGCACTTTTCGCACCAAAGTACGTTCATCTCTAGGAGACAGAACGCGTCTCCTTCCTGAAGATAACACATGCTTAGGAGATCTTACGTTTTGTTCTATGAGATAATAGCAGTCAGTTAACATTACCTTTATGAATTATGAGGCCTTTGTGGTTTATGTGCTTTTTTAATAACATAAATTCTTCAACATTCACAAAAACTGACGTTAGCTGATGGATATTATCTCATAGAACAGAACGTACAAGATCTCCTAAGTCTGTGTTCACCACATACCTTATTTTAGGCGTTCATTTTCTCCATGGGGCTTTGTCCCAACTAACCATAGCGGAGTTAGTGCCTACAAAAAAGACGCCATTACTATTTATCTCTATATACCAAACCAATCAGGTGGTTGTGAGACGTAAGGAAGCGTCAGACGTCATTGATTACGTGCTTCTTCCTGATATAGTGATACAGGCATCCGTACGTCGCTGCGATTTTGACGCATACCTCGGAGCTCCAGTATCAAACGCAACATCACTAGCTACAATATATGATACAGAAAATATACAATTAATTGTTGTTGTTTTTAAACGGTGGTAGACAGAGCAAGTGAAACCGTAAATATCGATAAATATTTACGGATCGTCGTCGACGCCGCTTTGCAAGTGTGTGTCTTGTTAGCCAACGTTAGCTTAGCAAGGATAGTTTGCAGGGTGGTAAAATGGAGGATGCATTTAGGCCGTCGACGGATCTCGATGATCCCCCAAATAGTCGCTTGTTTCTCGTAACAAGTAAGTCCATAACCGAGGACATGATCCGGGAGCAGTTTTCTCTTTATGGAGAAATTCAGGATGTTTGGGTAGTCAAAGACAAGCAGACTAAGGAGTCAAAAGGAGTGTCCTTTGTGAAATTTACTAAATCGTCCGAGGCATGTACGGCTATGGAAGAAATGCATGGAAAATGCTTGGTCGAAGGAACCAAACCAATCAAGGTATGTACTCTGTGGCTTTAGTGACTCTGCTCATGTCATTAACGCTATTGTAGCCAGTGCTGTTTCGTGTGGTTTTCCGGCAGACTTTTGTAGTATCCGGCTGGGTGAAGGAGTTAGGCCTACGTATTGCTGCCTTTCAAAGTTCGGAAAGTGCATTACAGATTTCGTAAACTAAAAAAGGGAAATGGGCGGAGGGAAAGAAATTAAACCAGCATCTAACCCTAGACAAAGATAGTCTATTATATTGACAAGATGGTCGATTGACCACTCTAACAATGAAAATGCATGCCCTTAAAATAGAACGCGGGAGGGGGGGGGGGAGGAGGCGAGATCAGGTGGGACCATTCTAGCCAATGAGGGCAGATACGCGTGTGAACAGGTCATAGAGATGGAGGACTCCTCTTTGTATCTGTGCCATTATAGCGTCTGTAACAGCATGGGCAGCGCCATTGAGGCCATCTCTATTTTAAAGTACTCAATTTTCTTCTTCATTGGCGGATTGCTCCCAACTCATAGGAATTCCCACCCAGTTGACTACTTTAAAATGGCGGAAGCTGTCAATGTCCATGTTAAAACGGGTTATAGCCATGATGAGTCCTATATCTATCTCTATGACAACAGGCACAACTCCGATATATAAAGTATTTTTTTCCCCAAAGTTGCTGAAATACCATTTGCGACCAGAAGGACCGTCTGGGTCTCCTCAGTCTTGCGCTCGCCACCTGGTGGCGTGCCTGACAGACACCCAGTTATCACTCATTTCAGCGGAGCTCTGCTCTGGAGATCAAAGCAGGACACAGCTCTCGTCCCGATGCATGTAACGCATTGTGCAACGCCAGGGTTGTGGGTTTGAACCCCATTGGGGACCATTGCGGGGGAAAAAGTATGAACATGTATGCACTCACTACTGTAAGTCGCTCTGGATAAGAGCGTCTGCTAAAATGACAAAAATGTATCATAAAAAAAAGGTTACATGCCCTTTGTCTCACGTCATATCGCCATCCGCCATCTTACCCTCCTGTAGCCAGTGCTGCTCCTGCTAGTCTTTTTTTATGGCGCTAAGTTTTCTTCTCTTCTGCCAGGTATTTATTGCCCAGGCGAGGTCTTCCGGAAGCCACCGAGATGTGGAGGATGAGGAGCTCACCAGAATATTTGTGATGATTCCCAAAACCTTTACAGAGGATGACTTGAAAGATACATTCAAGGTACTTGCATCACCCTCCATCGTATTGCATTTGGCTGATATAAAAAACTGTATTGGAATAGCCTATGCTTATCCACTCATTTGTTCTTGCAGGAATATGGTGACATTGAATATTGCATCATCGTAAAGAATAAAACTACAGGAGAAAGTAAGGGCCTGGGGTATGTAAGATATCACAAACCCTCACAGGCAGCCACCGCCATAGAGAACTGTGAGAAGAGTAAGTTGTCTCTTTTTGTTCATGTACAGATCTGTGAACTCCCAAACTGTCAATCTATCAAAGTAATCCATGTCTGTGTAATTTTGTTTACAACAGCATATAGGGCCATTCTTGCAGAGCCGAGGAACAAAACGCCAGCCCCAGACAACGACTACTTTAGCCCTGCCAGAGCTGAGCATGTCCAGGGTGACCCAGGAATGACTTCCTATCCATTTGGTATGTACCTGCCGTTTGTGTGATTAGGCCTGCCATTTCTATAGACCCATGATTGTTTTCCCCCAAATGCTAAGAAATTCTTGTTTCCTCCCGTTGAAGTGGACTCCGGTTTTCATACCAGGGGAGACATGCGGGGCACAGACATTATCACCAGGTGCTTAATGATGTCATCCCGGGCGAGCGTCACACAAGATCAAGTCTATAGCCTCTTTGACCTGATCCCAGGGATGGATTATTGCGAGATGCAGCAGGATTCATATGGTTTCAGCACAGGTAGCCACAAAACACAGTTATTCCCTCAGATGCAGCACCTGACGTATTGCGTAGGAATTGGTGGCTAGTATTTTTATTTATTTTTTCCCTTTCAGGACAAGCTATGATTCGCTACAACAACCTTGGATCAGCTGTCTATGCTAAAAACAAACTGGATGGGTTTGAGTACCCACCTGGGAACCGGCTAGTAGTCACTCACGTCGATGATGGGCAGGACAGAAGAAGGTAAGATGATTTGTAGCTTCATGGTAGACTACACGTGGTGTTAGGTCCTTATTTACCCTCTTGTTGTGTGTCCAGCCCCGTGGGAAGGATGGCCATGCAGCTAGTGGCAGCCCAGATGATGTCTATCGTATGCAATGCTCCTTCTGCACCACCACTTAGGAAGACGAGCGCTGTAAGTTACTGACTTGGTAGAGCTAATCAAAGATATATATTATGAAGATTTTTTAAAAACTACTACATGATGATTGAACTTCTAACAAACGTTACGACATGTCTTTGTCAGGGCTATCCACCACCCGCTGTTCCCCAGAGCCCCCGGGTACAGACAGATGTTGCCCTCCCACCTCTCCAGAAGTTGGCCCCCTCCGACAGCCGGGTGAAAGAACGCCTATTTGTGGTCTTTAAACCTTTGCCTCTGCCCATGGATGTGCTTGAAGATGTGTTCTGGTATGAGATACTTCCCATTCTTTTCATCAATACACTGTTTATTAACATGTATTACTGATAATCAACAGCTTATAAAATACTTTTAAGTTGTTTAAAGTTTTCATGTGTTGTAATGTGTTACCGATTCGCTTTTGAACTTTGGGCTGGATCGATAGTTGCGATCTTGTGTAAATAATGATGACTGGGAAAAAGGTAAACATTTCTGTAAATCACAGCTATCCCCCCCCCCATCTCTGTTTCTATAGCCGTTTTGGCTCTCTGGTTGAGGTTTTCCTTGTGCCTGGACGGAATGTGGGCTACATGAAGTACGCAGAGAGAAAGAGTGCAGATGATGCCATGGCGACACTGCATGGTCAAATGGTGAACGGCGTTAAAATGAAGGTGATGCGGGCTGACCCGCCCAAAGAGGAGTCTCACAAACGTCAACGCACCTATTAGAGGGACACAGGACAAGGTAAGTGGCTCCAAGGGTTACCAAGGGTTAAGAGTAAATTCCGTAGCGATCGATGACAGCGAGCGTCCACAAGCTGCTTTTTCTCGTTGTACTTACTTGAATTGCCAGAGACGTATGTTGAGTTGCCACCAGACATAAGGTAAGTACATAGCAGGACTAAACAATAAACGTTTTTTTTTCTTTTTTCTTCTTAACCTGACTATGGGCAACACGTTAGGAGAGACCAACACAGTTTAATGCATATTTATAGTGCTGATGTTTTTGTTCCTACAGAGATGACCTAAGTGACATGACCTCCAACATGACTGAACCGACATAAACGATGACAGGACCAAATTACGACCACACTACGGACAGTGATCTCTGTACCTTACTTTGATGTTTCGTTGTACTAACGCTGAAGGTGACGACAGTGGTGGTTCTTTTTTTGGTGTTTCCTTTTCTCATTAAATTGATATTTTGATGTTAAGGAATAAAGTTTGAATCAGCATTGGACCTAATATGTTCTCAATAAAAAAACAATAAAAAACAATGCAATGTGTGTGAATTTATTTTTGTTTATAATGAATGCAAAATATTGCAGTCGTTCTTTTTCCTCAATGTCCAAGTTTGTATTTTCTTAATTAATGCAGCCTACTTGTTATTTCCGGTGGGCTGAAGGGCATAACAGAACAGCAACTTCAGAATGTTGCTGGAGAGACTGAGTTTAGGGCATTTGGGGTGGTGTAGACATTTGGCAAGGGTTATGTTTGGAGCAAATGCCAAGAATACATTAAGGACCAGCTAGGGTTGGGTGGGGTCTAAAATAGGACCAGGAAAGCAAGGTTCAGACATAAAATCCATAGGCTTTTAGTTTGACCAGTGATGATGTGTGAACGCTATATATGTATATACTATGTCAGAGTCATGTATATAAAGCAATGATGAATCACCTGAGTTACTACACTGATAACTACGTATGTTTGCCTCATGGTGCCAACTAGCAAATACTCGGTGCTATGCTGTCGAACAGCGTCGCATACTGTAATAGAGACCGCATTGAATATTGGCGAAATACCAACCTTTTCAGCTGTGGGCACGTTCAGTCGAGGAAGTGCGCGCTGTTGCAGTGGGTGAGAACTTTAAGACCGCAACAGTGTGACCCTCTAGTGACATTGAACCTAAACATGAAGTAGAATTGATGGTACTTGCTTTCTCTTTTTAAAAGTATTTTTGTGGTAGAAGTTAAAGGTTTTACTTTACTATTTTAACGAAAAGCAGTTTTAAAGTATGTATGGTTTTGAAAAACGTTATAATGGTAGTCCGCAGTAGTAATGGTGGTGGCTGGTTGTTGATGAGAAGTTAAGATGGTCACCTAACCAACTTTCATATGTTCAGGCTATCTTACTTGCTTGTCACAAATTCCACAAAATTGCGTTTTCCTAGTTGAGGGCTTTGGATTTGTATTTGTATTAATTATAGATCCCCATTTGCTGGAGTCCAGCAAAAGTAAGGCATTATACATTAGAATACATTCACAACATATTACGTGTGTGCCCTCAAGCCACTACTCTACTACCACATATCCGCAACACAAAATCCATGTGTATGTGTGCGTATGTTATTGTGTGTTTGTATGCATGTGTTTGTGTCGCTTCACAGTCTCCGCTGTTCCCAAAGGTATATTGTTCTGGTTAACAGTACAACCACTAGATGGCAGTCTAATTCTTGGGAGAGACTGCTGCGTTACTTTATACTCTTCCACCACGAGAGAGGGGGGAATGAGGTGACTCATTCATTCTGGACAAATGGCCACTTTAAATTTTTACCGACTGTAAAATCAGTTTAATCCCCCACTGTTTAATGGAGCAAAGATTCTACCTCAAACCATAAATCATAGTGTAAACAGTACCACCCGTGTCATGAGGATCCAGACCTTTTGGCAGAGGCCAAAGTATGCACACTTGCAGGCCTGTTCCCCCTCGTAACATGCCTCCGGCACAAACCCCAGTACGAACATGAGAACACTTCTGAGGTCTGACAGACCACAGGGTTATCCCACTGCTGCATCAATTTGCAGTTATGGATCACATCTACATATGCGCCAGACTCCATAATTGGCGAGAGTATACCTTTATATACCATACAGGGACCCATAATAACGAACATCAGATGTTCTAAGCCAGCATAACACTAAAATATAAAACCGTTTTACATAAAACTGTCACTATATTTAGTCTCTTTTATAGACACAATCTGTCAAATTCCCTGCGTTTTCAAGTAGTTTTACCCATTTGATTATTTAACTTCTAAATGATGCTCTTAGTACAATCCGTCTAACCCCAAATATGATCATTTTGAAAATGTCTCTAGCAGTCTTGTGACTTGTTCACTGCACGAACATAAAATACTCCAGTGCCTGGTTTTGCGAAACACCATTGGTCCATCTCGCGTGCGGCTCCAGTCCGGTCATTTCTTCCCTCCAAAACTCACCCTTGCTGCAGGGAGGAGCGTTGAGCATCCGTCTAGCTGCATACAAGAAAACGGATATATACAGCACTTTTTTGACTTTCCATTGTTTATGTTCAAAACCTTTTATCTCATCTATTATATTAACAAGGGGTTTCAACGCGGAACCTCCTAGTTTATCTGTCTCAAGAAGGGCGCGGGTTTTTCTGTTGCATAGGGGAAGTCGTCTCATTTTATTTCCTGCGCCAAAAAAATTGCAAAGACATGGTCAATAAAACAAAACCTCGGTAAGCTATGTTTTCCGTACTTGTTCTTACTGTACTTTATGTGAATCGTGGCCCTCCGCTTTGTAATTGAAGTCAAATTGTTTCTAGAAAAGCCTTTCCAGTCAAGTGTTAACTCGGCATCCTCAGACACTGAGGAAGGCTACTTCTGTTTATGCCCCATCTGACCAATGACTACCTGAGAAAGGGATGACAGTAATTCTGCTGCATTTGAATGGCCTGACTTCTAGCCTGAAACAGGCTGCTAACTGCTAGTGCCAGCATAATGGACTACAATGACTTAATGTCTTCGTTTCAAATGGTTGTCTTAGTAGTACAATGTCAGACTATCCTTCGATGAGGTAAAGTAGCCTATATGAGGAAGAAATGAATTGGTGAGTGACGTACAAAAGTTGCATCATTACATTTTACATTTTAGTCATTTAGCAGACGCTCTTATCCAGAGCGACTTACAGGAGCAATTAAGTACCAACAATTAAACAATCACACTGTCACTATATACCTTTCACGTGTGATTCTCATGCACCGTGTACAAGTCCCTTTCCCACTCAGCAGTAGCCTACAATGATATTCTGCATGAGAATCCATCCCATCAGGGAATTTAGCCAGATAAAATGAAGGTCAGAAAGTGACATTGCAGCAAGGTTTAAAAATAGACTTGAATGAACCAAAAGGATGTAGCCTTGATGAAGGGATTCCCAAGCGGAATGTTGTAATTATCTACCTGTCGCTACATGGCATTCACATCCTTGAACAGATTAAGCTTTGATAGCACTAGTCATCGATTTTCATTTTTTTGGGGGACTGAGGGGAGGAGACCCTGCTCAAGGTGTCCTCATTTAATATCAGCTCATAGAGTTCATACCTTATCCCCAGGCAGAACCGGGGCCTGTATCCAGAAAGAGTCTCAGAGTAGAAATGGTGGTCAAGGGTCAGGTCCCCTTTCTTATTCATGTGATTTAGAAGGCAAAACTGATCCTGGACCAGCTCTCTTATTAGACACAGAGACCTTTTTCATTTAAAAATTGTGACTCACAATTGGAACCCTTGAGCTTTGTTTTAATTAGTCAATTATAGTAGTTAGCTGAGAGCCTGTGGCCCTGAAGGACCCTGTTACCCTGTAACGTCAGGTTTAATGAGATGCTGCACCTTAATGAAACGTTCAGTCCATCTACTATTTTAAACACAACATTCGGGGTGCAATAGTAATCTTTATGTATTGGTTTATAGTAGAAGGCCTTCACAATGAACAACATTTAGCTCCACAGGCCTTTTACCGGTCAAATCAGGCTTATTGTATAGGCCTAGTTACAACGCACATCCACATCTGATGATGATTCCCTTCCCATTAAGACATATTGTCCAACTGAGTGAATATTGGAAGACTGTTTGCTCAGTGACTGTTGCAATGCTCTAGTTCCAGATGCAATACGTTTAACGTCACATACGAAGGTGATACCATATGAAATGCAGTCTCATCTGTATTAACCTCATTTTCAGTAGTTCAGTTAATCTAACCCTTTTCACCCCTCCCAGTCATCCAATCAATATGTGTTTATTACCAGTTAATATCAAACAATAGTTGTGCTCTGATAGGAACGAAGTCCCTGTGTTCTTTTCCTGTAATGGGATCTACATGAGTCTGTTGTCGACCTGCTTAATTATGGAACAGAAAGGGTGATCAGCATCACTCTCGGAGCAGCAGGCTGTCAATAACACTGTGATAATGATGACTGACAGTCTGGTCAGTAACACTGTGATAATGATGACTGACAGTCTGGTCAATAACACTGTGATAATGATGACTGACAGTCTGGTCAGTAACACTGTGATAATGATGACTGACAGTCTGGTCAATAACACTGTGATAATGATGACTGACAGTCTGGTCAGTAACACTGTGATAATGATGACTGACGGTCTGGTCAATAACACTGATAATGATGACTGACAGTCTGGTCAGTAACACTGTGATAATGATGACTGACAGTCTGGTCAGTAACACTGTGATAATGATGACTGACAGTCTGGTCAATAACACTGATAATGATGACTGACAGTCTGGTCAGTAACACTGTGATAATGATGACTGACAGTCTGGTCAGTAACACTGTGATAATGATGACTGACAGTCTGGTCAGTAACACTATGATCATGATGACTGACAGTCTGGTCAGTAACACTGTGATAATGATGACTGACGGTCTGGTCAATAACACTGATAATGATGACTGACAGTCTGGTCAGTAACACTGTGATAATGATGACTGACAGTCTGGTCAGTAACACTATGATCATGATGACTGACAGTCTGGTCAGTAACACTGTGATAATGATGACTGACGGTCTGGTCAATAACGCTGTGATAATGATGACTGACAGTCTGGTCAATAACGCTGTGATCATGATGACTGACTAGGTGGTATTGGACATGTACCCTGGCATTTGCCTAAGGTAAACAATAGCACCCCCTTCCCCCGCATAGGTAAAGTGATATGTAAATACACTGAACAAAAATATAAATGCAACAATTTCAAAGATTTTACTTAGTTACAGTTTATATAAGGAAATCTGTCAGTTGAATTAAATTCATTAGGCCCTAATCTATGGATTTCACATGACTGGGCAGGGGTGCAGCCATGGGTTGGCCTGGGAGGGCATAGGCTCACCCAATTTGGAGCCAGGCCCACCAACAGGGGAGCCAGGCCCAGCCATTCAGAATGAGTTTTTCCCCCACAAAAGGGCTTTATTACAGACAAAAATACTCCTCAGTGCGTATGGAAAATGTCTGCTATCTTTGATTTCACCTCAGGAAACATGGGACCAACACTTTACATGTTGCGTTTTATATTTTTGTTCAGTGTATATGGCTCCTCTGTAGGGCTCTGACTTGTCCTGCGGTTGTTCTTACTTTTCCAAAACACGTGTAGGCTATTTAGCTAGTGGTGCTTTTGCATATACATTTGGACCACTCAACAACAATGATGTAACCAAAATAGACAAGACATCAGACTGTTGTCCTCACGCATCAATAGAACATCTCTGGTTCATTGGGCAAGGGCTGTAAGCTGCTTAAGAGTGCTTGAGGGAGCCGCTCGGGGCAATTGGCTAGTCTAAGTCAGCTTCCTCCTCAACCCCTCCCAAAACGTATTGTGCCCAGGCGGGAAAAGTAAAGTTTAATCCAAGGATTTCCACTGGGCTGAAGGAGACCGCATGAGGCACTTCTGTCCTACTACCATCCTCATGGATATTTTGGGCTGATACTGAAATGGACTAGGCCAGTGGATCTGCTGTGGTCACATTTCCTTTTCCAAGGAGGGACACTTTAACTCAAGGACTTAACTAAAGGCTTCTACTCCTAACCAGGCCTGCCGTACTGGATGGTCAACAGCCTTTTGGCTAAACCTCACCGAGGTCTCCTGGTATGTATGAGCTTTCTTCTCTCTATGGCAGTTTACTACCAATGGAGAATTGCTTGGTTGGCTGGCGGACATTCCTGTCAGAGGCCCTTTTGGGAAAATGCTCAGTGGTGGTTCTGAGGCCAAAAGAGGAAAATAAATGACTCAACACATTATTAACATTAACCTCTCACTAAACATTGATTTTTAAAGCACTGCTCTACTAATATTTGCCTAATTTTGCCCTGTGGGCTTGTATTAGCCGTTGACGTCCCTCCGTCTACACTCGCATCTCAGCGTATTCTGATAATGCTCCGTAATGGATAGACTTTTATAATGTCATGTTCAAATCAACGTTTATTGGTGGCGACTCGCGGACACAGTGTAGCAGATGTTATAGCGGGTGCAGCTAAATGCTTGTGTTACTAGCTCCTAACAGTGCAGCTAAATGCTTGTGTTACTAGCTCCTAACAGTGCAGCGAAATGCTTGTGTTACTAGCTCCTAACAGTGCAGCTAAATGCTTGTGTTACTAGCTCCTAACAGTGCAGCTAAATGCTTGTGTTACTAGCTCCTAACAGTGCAGCGAAATGCTTGTGTTACTAGCTCCTAACAGTGCAGCTAAATGCTTGTGTTACTAGCTCCTAACAGTGCAGCTAAATGCTTGTGTTACTAGCTCCTAACAGTGCAGCTAAATGCTTGTGTTACTAGCTCCTAACAGTGCAGCTAAATGCTTGTGTTACTAGCTCCTAACAGTGCAGCTAAATGCTTGTGTTACTAGCTCCTAACAGTGCAGCTAAATGCTTGTGTTACTAGCTCCTAACAGTGCAGCTAAATGCTTGTGTTACTAGCTCCTAGCAGTGCAGCTAAATGCTTGTGTTACTAGCTCCTAACAGTGCAGCTAAATGCTTGTGTTACTAGCTCCTAACAGTGCAGCTAAATGCTTGTGTTACTAGCTCCTAACAGTGCAGCTAAATGCTTGTGTTACTAGCTCCTAACAGTGCAGCGAAATGCTTGTGTTACTAGCTCCTAACAGTGCAGCGAAATGCTTGTGTTACTAGCTCCTAACAGTGCAGCTAAATGCTTGTGTTACTAGCTCCTAACAGTGCAGCTAAATGCTTGTGTTACTAGCTCCTAACAGTGCAGCTAAATGCTTGTGTTACTAGCTCCTAACAGTGCAGCTAAATGCTTGTGTTACTAGCTCCTAACAGTGCAGCTAAATGCTTGTGTTACTAGCTCCTAACAGTGCAGCTAAATGCTTGTGTTACTAGCTCCTAACAGTGCAGCTAAATGCTTGTGTTACTAGCTCCTAACAGTGCAGCTAAATGCTTGTGTTACTAGCTCCTAACAGTGCAGCTAAATGCTTGTGTTACTAGCTCCTAACAGTGCAGCTAAGTGCTTGTGTTACTAGCTCCTAACAGTGCAGCTAAATGCTTGTGTTACTAGCTCCTAACAGTGCAGCTAAATGCTTGTGTTACTAGCTCCTAACAGTGCAGCTAAATGCTTGTGTTACTAGCTCCTAACAGTGCAGCTAAATCCTTGTGTTACTAGCTCCTAACAGTGCAGCTAAATGCTTGTGTTACTAGCTCCTAACAGTGCAGCTAAATGCTTGTGTTACTAGCTCCTAACAGTGCAGCTAAATGCTTGTGTTACTAGCTCCTAACAGTGCAGCTAAATGCTTGTGTTACTAGCTCCTAACAGTGCAGCTAAATGCTTGTGTTACTAGCTCCTAGTCTCCCGAGTGGCGCAGTGGTCTAAGGCACTGCATCGCAGTGCTAGCTGTGCCACTAGAGATCCTGGTTCGAATCCAGGCTCTGTCGTAGCTGGCCGCGACCGGGAGACCCATGGGGCGGCGCACAATTGGCCCAGCGTCGTCCAGGGTAGGGGAGGGAATGGCCGGCAGGGGATGTAGCTCAGTTGGTAGAGCATGGCGTTTGCAACGCCAGGGTTGTGGGTTCGATAAAATAATGTATGTGCTAACTGTAAGTCGCTCTGGATAAGAGCGTCTGCTAAATGACTAAAATGTAAATGTAAATGTAACAGTGCAGCTAAATGCTTGTGTTACTAGCTCCTAACAGTGCAGCTAAATGCTTGTGTTACTAGCTCCTAACAGTGCAGCTAAATGCTTGTGTTACTAGCTCCTAACAGTGCAGCTAAATGCTTGTGTTACTAGCTCCTAACAGTGCAGCTAAATGCTTGTGTTACTAGCTCCTAACAGTGCAGCTAAATGCTTGTGTTACTAGCTCCTAACAGTGCAGCTAAATGCTTGTGTCCAAACATGTACACTGATAATAATAAAAAACAAGAAATCACAAATGTCAGAACAAATCCAGTTAACAGCCCAAATAACACTATCAGTAATCAGCTTCTATCTCCAGGCCACCAGACAGCTTCTGATGGTCTGGTAATAGAAGCTGTTTAACAGTCTGATGGTCTGGAGATAGAAGCTATTCAACAGTCTGATGGTCTGGAGATAAAAGCTGTTTTTCAGTCTCATTCCCGGCTCTGATGCATCTGTACCGTCTCTGTCTGCTAGATGGTAGAAGAGTGAACAAACCGTGACTCAGGTGGCCGAGGTCCTGTTTTGCAGTCTTTCATTGGTTACCCATTTGTAAGCTTGATTCGTTGCAACTTAGGCTACTGCAAATGAAGTGAGCAAGCTGTCAAGCCAGTCATTTGGTAACGATTTCACTGATGTTAACACTAATAACGAGATGTGGCCAATGTTAAGTCTTTCTATCACCCTCTTGTCTAATGATTAGTGTTTACTCAGTGCTCCTGCTTTACTGTTTGCAGGCTGGCTGGACTGGCTCCAGAGTTCAATTTAATGAACCTTGATAAGTCAAGAAACAGATGTCTGCACAGATGGCTCTAATTAGATTGATTTTAATTATGCAAGGAATTCTCTCCCTTGATGGTGTATAGCAGTTTGAAACCTCATACTGTTGTATCCATATGGTCATCCTCTTCAATAGAAAACAATGAAACAGTATCCTGCTGGATTCACTGCCGTAGCCAATCACAGAGACCGTTATTGACACGTCTCCAAGCGGATGGTTTGGAGCTTTGCTGAATGGTGAAATCATGATAAGATAATGATAAGGGCTGAGTTGAAGTTTCTTGTGCGTGGTTGATAGGACATAGTTGAGGTTTCATGTAGGGATGTGACAAATGTAACATCTTTGTTAATGTTTACACTGCCATTTTCTTATCGCTTAAACGTAAAAAAAAAAAAAAAAAAAATGACGTGATTCACAATTCAGATATGGTCCTGCGTGTGCCCATAAGGGGCAATGCAGTTCAATCTACCGCAGATCTGGCAACCTACCAGACGGCGCACACCTTACTGCTGTCCCCCACCCACTCAGCGACAATGGTATTAATGCGGTTTTAGGTTCTCTGTTGTCTCCCCTCCGTGTACTCGGTTTTCAGTACATGGGACTTCATGCCCCACCTCTCATCAATGCGATGGCTCGTTGCAGTGATGTACGACGGTGTGTTCATAGACGTCCGACAATCTGTTGTTAACGCCACGTATGGTGTTTGAGAGCTCGTGGGGGAAGTTTTACAGCAGTGGTATAGCAGCCTATTTGGGAAGAATAAGGAAGAGTGATGATGTCATCGGCCTAGTGTTCTCCACTAAGCCTGTATGTTTATCTGAAGGTCCTTAAGGCAAAATGATACCTGGCGTTTAGTGTTATGACACAGTCACATGGCTAATAAAATAGCAGAGATGAAAATGTAATGTACTGCGTTGTATTACATTAACATTTTAGTCATTTAGCTGCAGACGCTCTTATCCAGAGCAACTTACAGAAGCAATAAGGGTTAATTGCCTTGCTCAAGGGCACATATTTGACATTTACATTTTAGTCATTTAGCAGACGCTCTTATCCAGAGCGACTTAAAGTTAGTGAGTGCATAAATTTTCATACTGCCCCCCCCTATGTACATAGACATGGAATCACTGGTCACTTTGATGACGTTTAAATACTGTTTTTCCCATTTCA